CTGGTGGAGGATCTGTCACCTACTTGTCTTCATGGAGATAATATTCCTTTATCTAGAATGTTCCACAGTATAGATTAAACATATCTATCACATGGGAGGCACGTAGGTCACAGCACTACACTACATTACAGTTCAAATCTGTGGAGAGTCGCCGCTATTCACAGAAGGAATGATTGTATTTTTAGAAATACCCCTAGTGAATAAATGCTAGATGGATATGTTAATGTCATATCATGGAACATTCCAGGCAAAGCAATAACATCTCCATGGAGACAAGCAGCTAAAGGTCCCTCTACCAGTTAAGCTGTGCCTTTAAAATAATGATTTTGATACATGTGACAATTTTAAAAAGATATTTATAATGCAAATAAGGTGTTATGCAACTCAAGACCTGCCAACAATATACAAGAAAACAACACTAGTACCAAGAAGTTTCAGTGCCACTGATGGTGTGTGCTAATATTAGGCTCCAGTGTTTCTAGGCTAGTACAATTTGTCTAAAAATAGATAATGAAACTGCATAAAAATACAGGAATGTGTTATACTGTTGTGATGTGAGGTGGTCTATTTTGTTGCTCTGTCCACCAAAAACAGGTCACTGATCCCCATGGAGTGAGTGAGTCAAAGTGCTCAAATGGACCCCACAGCTTTTAAGGTCATAATTGGTTTCAGTTGATTTCACATTTCCACAGACATAATTACAGTGATCTCTCTGTCAGGTCCAACAGCATTAATCCACTTTGACTGTGAGATTCACTGCCTTATCAACTACCAAAATGTGCCCAAATCAAACTTTGTTTCCTTGCTTTTTCCAATTCCCTGCTTCTTTTCTGTTCACATCTAGTGCTTTTTGTAGCTCTGTCTGTTCAGTCAGACAAGACATTGCTGTGAATAGTATCTGAGAGAGGCATCTACAGTTGCACCATATAGGAGAAGACACCAAATGCAGCCCTTTAATTTGTAATGCCAAAAGGGATCTCTAACTCCTTCTTTTCGCTTTCCATCTGTGTCACACATACTTCACACTCACAGATTTACTTTTTATCTCCGTCTTCTTTGTTCCCCCTGCACATTCACCCACCGCTTAACACCTCCTACCAGTATCACTGCTTAAACTAACTTCACTTTAGACTTCACACTGTTTCCAAGTTACTGTTGCTACCAGTGTCAGTCATCGCCCCTACACACAAACTCTATCAATACCAGCTAATAACCAGCTTATTTGTACAATGCAGCCGCTCTGCCACTCAAACGTGTGGTAAGCAGATTAATGCTGGAACATAGTGCTTTGTTGTGCCAAAAGGAGAAACTCTGTTAAACTGTTAGTCAACATGCCAAAAGGTAAACACATGCACTGTTATACTGGATAATAAACTTTCCCTGTATCTCTGAAAGGGTGGGGGATCTCCAAGTTTTAAAATGTCTCATTACACAGAGAAACATAAGTCATTTTCTGCATTCTCATCCTCTTTCCATTTCTGAATATGATTTGTTTCTGCACTGCATATACCGTAGGGTTTATATATAAGGTTTTGTTTGAACTTTGCAGACTCTTTTATTATCAGCCATAATGCTCAGTGTTCCTTTAACATTTTATGGTCGTACAGACAAGACATCTGACAGATGACGCATAACTACTTACTTACTATACTTGCATCAAACATGTTTGTTAAGTTTTTGCTTTTTTTCCCCTTAAAGGTGCACTATGTTACTTTCTGGTGGTGGGTATGCAACCACCTTGTCTTCATAGAGATGCTATTGCCTTGAATGTTCCACAGTATGGCACTGAACTTTTCTTATTTGTATTTATTCAATTACAGGTGTTTTTTTGACTAAAAAATACCTGGAAAAACATCTATTCTTTCTCTGAATGGCGTCGCCTCTGCACAGATCTGACCTGTAACTTGGTCTGGTGGCATCACATGCTTGTCTCCATAGCAATAGATATTTGATGCTATACTGTGGACCATTGTCAGCAAAGAAATAACACATTGATGAAGACAAGTAGATAATGGGCAATTCAAGCTACAAAGTGCACCTTTAACATAAAACAAAAAAGGTTTAAACCCCTTAATGCTGAGTGTTACAAATATGCAACAAAATATTTGGATGAAGATATAAACCGAGATGGCAGCTGCATTCTCCCAATGCCGGTTAGTGCATATGCAGTATCTTCCTAGGAACCTTTGGCAAGCACTTGTTTCTAGTTGTCACAAATTTGCAACATACCCAAATTTTTTATTATTTATTTTTTTGCTATAGACAAATTAATAATCTCAACTTAATTTACCATTTACTTACAGGTAAAAACACCCACAAAACTTTTTAATATACATCTATATACATTCAGGAGTTAAGGGGATAAGAGTATTACTTGTCCTCTGAGATCAGACCTCATGCAGATTAAAAAACCACAGAATAAACTGAATAAAACAAATCCAAACTAAATATGAAAGCAACAAACCTTCTCTTAAAATTTGAGTCACAGTCCCACATTGTCACACAGTGGTCCCTCAAACGTGATGTTCGGTGCAGTCACGAATACTGACATCAGCCTGGCAAATGGGCAGGTGTGCAGAGAGGGAGAGGAAATCCAACATAGTTCTGAAAATTGGCTCTGATATATTAATGAGAATAAACATACTTTTAATTATAACAAATAACTACATTGAATGCTAACTCTAACACACACACTGCTAACACACTCTTTGTTATCTTTTTATAATTTCAATTAATACAATGAAGAGATATAAATGTAGCCAGCTGTTCCATACAACTGGTATTTGTACATGTTTAGAGCTTGTTTGTTGGTTTGCAGACCATCTGCTTCTGTTTGTTAAGATACAACGACCTTGTTGTCAGTGGTAATCTGCCTGTTTGAAGAGTTGTCATGTAAACCACCTTTGAAAACATGAAAAAGTTATTACAACTTTTCTATGGATAAACAAATACATTATTATTTATGCTTTAAACTAGAGATGAGAGAGCTATTCTGACTCATTGTAATTAATTAACAACTAATTTACTAACCAATATTCATTATCTTGTGTTTACACAGACTATTACTACCACCAGCATATATACAAAATATGACAATAAACTAGCTCATTAAAGCTAAAATGAAATAAGGAATAAGGAAGTACAGTCAAAACAACTGAAGCAGATGCAAAGAGGAATTTAAATGTGGACATTTAAAGCCACAATTGGTTTAGGTGAATGTGTGTTTCTGGGAGAGCTGAAGTCCCATGGTGATCTGATATGGCTCATTATAGAAAACACCATCAGTATAATGCCAGCCCACATCATAATAGCCCCATAGTGACCAAGCATTTGACAAAAGGCTTTAACATGTTAAGTAGTTTCCTACAAACCGGTTAAGAAAAGACAGCAGTCATAAAGTTGTCACAACATAACACAACTATTTAGATCTTGCTTTTGCTAACTTTAAATAAAACAACTCATAACTATCTATTACACTGAACAAATATGCCTTTGCCTCAGCTCAGAGTAGGATTCTGTCATGTATCGTATCAAAAAAACAAAACAAGGTTTGCTTCAGTCCCTCAATTTGTTTTCCAATTTGCATCTTTCACTGTTTTATACCTTTATTTTCACACAAAGTCACACAAATAAGACCAACCAACACAAACCCACATGATTACTCCATACAACTGAAGGTACAAAATATCTGATGCTGTGAGTGGTGTTGTGGTCCCTTCCCTGTTGTTGATATCCAAGCGACACAAATCCCAGCGGACAGAGCAGGTCATTGGGACTACAGGTGCACACCAAAAACATAAAATGGTGCTTCAGACAGATAAGAGAGGAGTTCACAAACACATCAAAGTGCACTTGTTAAAATACAGCACCACTGTATTTAGGTAAAACGGAAGGTACATCTGACTCTCCATGTGTGCAAATGGCTCTCCCACAGTCCAGCCAACGTCAGGGCATATGTCACTGCCTCAGATCACCCTACAGATTACTGGCTGTGTGCAATAGTCCATAAGTCCAGCTAGAGGCCAGATTCATTGATACAAAAAAATCAGCGCCATATTTTAGAAGGAGAGAGGAGAAATGAAACAGCTCACTCTATTGTTGTTCATGAATTCATAAAAGCATAAACTGCAGAAAAAAATCTGTATGACAAAGGGCTTTTTAAACTTCATCCAAAACTGACAAAGTCAATAAACCCAAGGTTGTCTTTTGACTTTATAATTTGCAGGACAACATGGGATTCTGATTTCTGACACATCCTGGTAGGTCTGTACAATATGACAAATAATATGAGACATTTTATGACTATATTCACTAGTGTGATAACAATATTGCGATATTTGAATTTTTTCGCAAAAGTTCAGTTAAAATAAAAGACAAAAAGATAGCTCTGCAATTTACTAGTCAGAAAAACATAGAGACTAAAGAAGGGCCACAACAAGAATAACAAATAAGGGCTTACTAATAAAAAAGTTAAATGTATCTTTTTTTAACATTTAAACATACATGTTATACCTGTTATACATTAAATGTATAACAGGATGGTTGCCATATTGTCTTACACAATAATCAATGTTGCAAGAGACTAAATATATCACAATACCACTGAAGTTATTCTGTCAGACAGGAAATTTATGTTTTTTTTTTTTATTCATTAAAAGTTATTTGATACAATCACTACACTGACCAAGGGAAACTCTTTTGCAGAGTAGACACAGACATTATGTAATGAATAATTTGATGCACAGTTAATTAAATAACTATTCTTTAAAGTTAATATTCCACTTCCATGGAAAACTGAATGTTGTTAAGTATCCCACAGGTGCTCCTACAGCTGCTGCCATAGAGGCCTTTTGACTAATGAAACTTAATTCCTAACAGTGCTGCTGTGCATGATCCCAGGTGAGACTCTCTTGAGACACAAGCCACTGTGGTGTGTCTTTTGTCTAACCCGCAAAAATATGGATTCTTTAAGGTGACGTGTGTGTCCTAAAACATCTTACCGGTGGCTGCTGAGAGTTGAGCCCTCCCCTCTTGGTGGACCCCCCTCTGGAGCTCAGCCTTTTCCATGACTCTGAGAAGCGCCCCCTGGTGGTGGAGCGGCCGGGGCCAGATGTCCCGGGCACCGCAGAAGCATCCTCTCGGGTGGAGAATGGCCTGTCTCTGCGCAGCTCCCTCCTTTCTGCCCACTTCTTCTTGGAAGCCATTGGTGTGGATTTAAGAGAGGCTGTTTTAGATGTGAACAGGAGCCACAGGTGGCATCTTCACTCTGCTCCACAACACACTCACTTTCTTTTTGTGTGCCTCTTTTTTTTTCCTGGTTGTCTTTATTCTTCACTTTGTTCAGTCCAGCAAATTATTTGTCACTTTTCCGTTTGCTCCTTGAACTTTTCCTCTTTCTTCTTCTTTCTATTCTGTGTATGATGCAGTAGGATCGCAAATGTTGCTTTGGCTGGACTTTTGTCTTCGTTCCCTGGAGGTGTCCTTGGAGTGATGATAGCTGGAGGAGAGGTGCTGTCTGCACCCTGTTGCATGTGCTGCTACTGTGGCTTGGCCGTTGATGCTGTTTCCCTCTTCACAATGAGAGCGAGCAAGTGAGTGTGAGGGAGGCAAACAAGGCAAGCGCACACGGGGAGGGTGGAGGGAACCACATTACAATCTGAGTGAAAAGGGCTGTGTGGCACAAAAGAACTGATAACAAAATGAACTTACATTTATGATGTGAGACAGGTGAAGTAAGGATAAAAGAAAAGGGAATCCAGCACGTAAAAAGATTAAACAGGCATAACTCCAGAGAGCAGGTTTCCTGTGGAGGAAAGCACAGAGCTGCTTAGAGCAGACTGAGAGCCACAATGACAGACATGGTTTAACTCACTCTCTCACTGAGAATACCCACAGCCACTAAACCTCAGTTGGCTTTATACAGCTCCTCGGTGAGCCACTGATTTTCTCTGCTTTGATGGACATGGTTCACAGTTCATGAGTTAAGCCATCTGAGCCGCTGCTTCTGTGGTCAGCCAGGAGACTGAAGGGGGCTTTAATTCATTTCTGTTTTGGTTTTCTACCCAGTAGGCCTAGTAGTCTAGTGTCTTACACTTGCTTTATTTTCTTTCTGTTGTGTTCTGTGTGTGAAGTAAAATGGTAAATTGAAAAAATAATAGGGTTGAAAAGCCCAGATAAATTATTCTAATGAGTCAACACCAGGAACATTGTTGCTTTTGGCTACAACAAAGGATCACGTTTGGGGATGAGTTTTGTAATGTGTAGGCCATTATAATATTAGTCTATGATTCAGACGCATCATGGGGCAAGACCAAGAGCACGTGCACGCTCGTGCGTACTGCAGTGATAATAGAGTGAGTGAGCTCAGAAACTGACTGGGAATAAAACATCTGAGATCCCCCAAGGATCAGACAGACAGAGAGCGACCAAACAATCAACAGAGGCGGTGCTGGAGAGAGACACATGGGGATAGGCACAAACCTGTTCGTACAACCTTAAAATGTAAGCTACGTCTCAGCAGCTCTAAAAGCTAATTGCGCAACAGCTAGCGTTATTTCTTCTAAAACCACACACACACACGAGTTATAACTTACATGTGTTGCATATATAAGGTTATACACATCTGTTAAAGATTTTGTAAAAACTATAGGCCTTGCCTTGCTTTGGTAGAGGAGGTACTACTACTAAATGGTCATCAATCAGCAATGTTGCTAGCGAACGTATGTGTCGGAGCGCTACAAATCTTAAAACCCTGCCATTTCCAACTTACCTGAATTAGATCTGATTCAAAACCCTACCATTTACAACTTACCCAAGTCAGATCAGACAGTGTAGGTTTTGATTGTGCAGCTTAAAGACAGTGACACAGCGCATGTTTGTGCCATGGTGGCCGGCGCGAAATATTTTTTTTTATCGGAGAAGTCCCAATGATGAGTCCCGGTCACGCCTGACCTTAGTGATCCTTTGGGGTCACTTCACTTCTCAGTGGGCCTCCATATGGTGGGTCCCGAGACCACAGTCAAAGGGCCCAGACAACACTGCTAGCCTAGAATGATGAAAGAGATGGAATTTTGCAAAATTATCAATTCTATAACACGGCCTTTTAGGCTAACCATTTGCATTTTTCTAAAAAGACAGATGTTTGTCAGGTAGGAGAATGTGGTAGCTAGTCTGTCTGACACCTCTGATAAAATGGAAGTCAGAAAAAAGATGTGAATCACTCCTTTATTTTATTTATATTGCTTTTTTTAAATTTGTTGTTCTTTGTGCATGTGTACAGTAACTTTCTTTTTTGTAGGTAAAACAATCGACTCACAAATCAGCTTTAAAAAGGAACTGCAACTTCAAGAGAAGGTAAGAACAGCAGCAACCCAACTTTGGAAATCCACTCCAGCTCAGCAGTAGTTTGGATTCTCTAACAACTTGACAACATGTGTTCTATGGTTAAGGGGGTGTAGGTCTTGCAGTTGCTGACATCTGTCTCCCTCCTCTCCTCCACTGGTACCCCCTTCCAGCAACATCAAACACCCACCCACACGGGGTTGTGTAGTTGCTATGGTTACTAACCCGAAAACTTAGATGTTGCATCACCCCTGCTTCATTATAATCTTCCCTTGTACCACAATGTGTGCTCATTTCACACCATTTACATCCACTGGCACATTTCTCCCCACACACACTCAGAGATGCCCACACAAATCTAATACACTTGTTCTTCACCATCACTGGTGGTGGTCACGATGTTATGAAAATGATTACAGTAGCCAATTAAAGAGATTTCCTTTGGTGTCTTTACCCCATTAAGGATTTTAACTAGCTACCTGATTACTACAACATTCCCTCTGGGTTATGAAGAGGGTCAAGCACTAAGATGTTGTAGTAGAACAAAAAACATGCAATTATGGAAAAATACTGGATGTCTTCATAGGTTATAGCAGACAGTCAGGCAAAGCCAGTTAATCTTGATAGTATCAATACTGGGTCGGATTTACAATGTAAGACCAATACTAACGCTCTGACCCTGGTGGAAAGAGAACCATTATGAAGGCACATAGGCAAGTCTGTAAAAAGTCATGCGCTATAAGATGACTACCAGCATATGCATTTTAAAATCCACATGTATTTAAACAGAAGTGCGTAGAGTAAATAAAGATTGTGCTGAAGTAAGAATAAATGAATATTACTCAAATAAAAGGAAGTAGTTGCACGAGAACGTACTCAAGTAAGAGTAAAAAGTATTTGGGGAAACTACTACCCCAAAAGCATTTGTCAGAGTAACAGTCTGGACATAAAATCTGATGTATAATTTTAAGTTAATATAATTGGGCAAATAAAGCACAAAACCTATTTTCAAAGGTCACTCCACAAACATAAGAAAAAACTAAATTGTATCTGATGGAGCAGCTCAGGAAATGCTTTAATTACTGATAATATCAACATAAACTTTTTGTCTCATGACTCACTCAGTAACACTTTTACTCAGTAAGAAGAAAGTAACACTTCAAATATATTACTAAAGTAGGGGTCTAAAAAAGCCTCCAAATGTATTCAATATATAATAAACTTCTACTCACCTCTGATTTCAAATGTTATGTCTATGACAGTTTTACAAAAATAAATAAAGCAAAAAGCTCAATGCCCTACCTTAATTTCTGTGCACAAAGGAGCAAGGACTCTTCTTCCATGGGCTTTTCGTGTCATCCTCCTGAAGGGGTCAAATGAAACCAATAAATAAATAGGATTATAGAAAGGGTTGCAAGCAGAACTGTGCAGTAGTGAGTTTTTACAGTATAGTTGACACGAGTGACAGTGCAGTATCTCAGTTTTTCGGGCAGGAGGTGAGCTGATGCCCATTTGCAGCTATTACCATTTGTCACCCATTCATTCCCCCATAGTATTTGATTTGGTCTGTGTCTGCCTCGCTGTCTGTCAAGATGCCACCTTTTTCAAATGAGCTGAACAGTGTAGAAATTGGTATCATCATGAGGTTTGAGTTGAATTAATCATTGTATTTATTAGTTATGAGAGAGCAAGAAGATCCATCAAATGTGCATACCAGTTTGTAGATTTAAAAATAACTTTGTGTGCCTGTGGAATAAAATTGTTTTCATTTAAAAAGAATAAATATATGTTTGTAGCATCGGTACCTTTATAATTAGTGTCTGTTTTCCCTTATGTTCAAACGCTAATTATTACTTCCTCTCTGAGCGACAGAAAGGTTGGGGATGCATTTTTAAGCAGGCTGAAGACATCAATAATTCAATTTCAGATTCCACCAACAATATGTGTCATTCCTTTTGCCAGAATCAGGTTATGTCATATGTCATATAGCTTGAAACACATTTAGACACAATGTACAAAATGTATACTTCTGAAAAATATACTAAAAGATAAAGATAAATGTTTGTTCGAAAGACCATATATTATGAAACTGTGCTATCGTATACTTCAATGAAAAAAAACCTCAAAAGAAGAACATGTGCCAAAAACCAAGCCGCCTTCTGTTGAGTCTAGTGAAATGTGTCACAAAAACTGTCCTCTCTTTTGCTGTAACTCCCACACAAAGACTCTCTGTTTGTCAACAATCAGCACAACGGTGATGTGTTCAGTATGTTCACACATTAGTTCAACTGTAAGTGTATGTGCTTTTATCAATCCACAGGCAGCTGCCTCTATTAAAAGACCATATTATCAGTCTTAACACAGTCTGCGAGCCCATAGAGGCAATCTGGGAAATACTGAAAATTATATTAAAAAGTTGTCTTATTCTTTGTTCTTATTAGAAAATTGGTAAAATGCCAGCCTAAATGTGGCGTGTGATTTTTCGCTGAAGCTAGAATTAAAGTTGTGAGGCAGTAGGGAAAAGCCCTTTAAGGCTTTCTTCAGTGGCCATGTCTTATCTGCTGAACAAAAACAGGCTTTTGTGGATGATTAATACATAAGGAGCATATGCTTCTTTGGGCATCCACTATTAGCAGATGGAATGTGAGAAAAAAACAAAGATAAAAAGCAAAAGAATGTCCACAATGTTTTATTAAAACCTTCTACAGCTGACCACTTCTGAGCCTGATGAATCTAGACTACAATATGTATGTGAAATAAATGTACAAATGAAGAGGTTAATAGCAAAAACAGATATTTCCGTTTTGAAAAATTGTCACAAAGTTTCTTTCTTTTTGTTATCATTTATGTATATTATCAATAGCAGTAAAATACATTTGAAAATATTACTACAATAAGAGTAAACTACAAGCCTCCAATGCCTTTTCCCCATGGCAAATACCTGTTTTTCCAAATGAACTCTTCAAATATAAATACAAAATGGCCGATATCTTACCTCTTTTTAAGTTGTCTTTTGGTATTATCCTCTGCCCACCTTGACCTCTTCTTCTGGTGGACTGCTTCTCTAATAATGTTTTTTTTTTTTTCTAACACTCGGAATCCGGGTCACCTAACACCCAGAGGAGGACAGAGGAAAGAAGCTGGTTGTCTCCAGGAGTCAGCAGCCACAGGTGGGCAAGACGTCCCTATGTCTGTGGAGGCGTGATGGACGATAGGGCATGACGCAGCTGGGGTAGGTCTTTATGTCACAGTCACCAGCAGATATGAAAATACTGTACATCTGTTTGTCCACATTCCATGGGTAGAAGAAAAAAAATAACTCCTAGTTTTGATACGCCAAAAATAGTTACACCAGCTACATGGGTCTCAAGCTTGTATGATGGCGAGACAGGGTCAGAGTCAGAGTGGGTTTACATCAGGATTGGCAAAGGAAGGTATTGTTGCTTCAGAACAGGTAAAAGTAGGTTCTAAAATCAATTAGACCAATAAGCAAATCACTGCATACTCGGAGACAGACAAATTACCGTGGCGACCCCAGAAGGCTACATATACAGTAGGAAGTCCTGTGCATTTATTCTTCTTCAGATTCCCATCTTGGTTGACCATATCCAAATTCAATCAGTAGTAGTAGCAGTTGTCCATTAAACTCCAGCCTGTTGATTTTCTGCCAAGCAAAACGTCACAAGCAAATGCACCTGAGCCCCATATAGTCATCTGGTAAGGTTGTGGGGTAGGGGAGGTGCGTGTGTGTGTGTGTGACCCCCCAGTGATGCTCTGCCTTTGAGAATCATCCCAGGCCATAGGTTGCTAGGTGAGCGCGCAATGATGACCCTCCCGAAATGCCCCCAGCGCTGCCCCATCTTGCACATGTCCACACACAGTTTTAAAAGGGAGCTTGCAGTTAATGATAGCAAATAAAGAAAAGTAAACAGCGGGCGGCTAACGAGAGCTAATTCGGTTCGGCGCTCCGTTATGAATTAATGAAGAGATCACTTGGATGCCACAGCAACACTGCGGAGGAACTGACTTGTGAGAGGCCCCTAAGAGCTAGTAATCATTTTAGGGCTTTCTGTTGTCTGGAAACATGGCTATGACATAATAGGCCCCCACTATATATCTCGACTTATCTTCCTATATCTACTTTGTTATGCACAATCTCATTTGGTGTCTTCTCTCTACCTCTTAACAGTTTTGTCATAGTCTGTCGGCCATGGTGTGATGCCCAGATTGTGAAATGACTGGTCTAATTGCTGTCTGTCACATCAGGTTCAGACTGGCTCAGGTTTGACTCTCCTTGATTTGCACAGTGCCCGCTTCATCATCAAGATCTGCTGCAGTTATAGAAAGAATCGCCAGCTGAGTCTAGTAGTACCTTTTAAAGAAAAACACTTAGAGGTGGCTTAATTTTCCAAAATAATAAATAGCATGTTATTGTTTTTTAATGTGTATGAAGAGATGGGAATCTAGGATGGATATTCTAGTTTTACCAAACTTTCATTTATACTTCTTATCAAAAAGGTTTGTTTTCTTAGCCCAGCATTTATTTACTTATTCAAATATGAACATGTGCATATTTTTCTCCAGGATAAAAAATAATAATAATGTTCTATGGTAAAAACTTATCTCTAAATATGAATTAAAAGGTTAAGAGTATCACTGGCCCTTGTCAAGATATTCTATTTGTTCAAAATTAGTTTAGATATTAAAAGTAACCTCTGTAGAATAAATTTTAAAATGGCAATGTGAAATTTATTACAATTTTAAATAACAGCCCAGCTGAGTTGGGAGTTATTTTTAGTCTGTTCTGTCTCAGAACAATGTTCTAATGAAGCCCACGATTATTAGATTTTGTTGCAAAAACCTAGGATGTGAAGCACTGATTGCTGCACTTGTGTGAGTAAAATGAAGTGTTGTGGTATGGCATGGGCGTTGTACAGAAGGGTTTGCCATTACAAAGGATTTGTAATCAGTTTGAAAGGGCGGATTCTGAGGATACTCCAGACAAGCTTGTGATTGGATTGCTTTAGTAGTTCAGTGCGTGACTTATTTCTTTAACTTTTACATTGAGAATCACACAACCAGACATCCAATCAGAACTAAACTTGTTAAAATACTTGGCACATAGAGAGACAGAGATTATTTTAGACATCAGCCTATCTGCCTTGGCTTTTGTAGAGGAAGATGGAGTGGACATTGTTCCTACATCAGATCAGGTTCTGTGACCACCTCTAGCAGCATTTGCAGTGCAGGTCATTAAGACCTCCCCCCACCCCCCCAAATTGCAGATCAGGTGAAATTGCATTTGTGTGGCTTGAAAAATGCCATGCTGTGTTCATCCAATAAACATGTGAGCCAGTGAGTCCTTGTATTAAAGCAGAGCATAAGCACCTTTGACAAAACCTGCTAATCCTCTTTTTATTACATTTCTTTGGAGTCATTAGCTCAGTGAGTGCTGTGTGGAAAGTACAATATAAATTTCTTATAATAGAGCAGAGTACAGCAGGGTTGTACCTGTCCCTCCATACCTCCTCATCGACAGGTAGAAGGTTAATTCAGTGTCTAATAGGCCGAGGAGGTGGGAATCATTTGATGTCAAAGAGTAATTGACTTTGTGTGGGTCCAGAGAGAGAGAGAATGGGTCTCTCTTTGGAGCATAACACATCCACAAACCAATCGGGAACCATTATAGGCATCAGTCAAGTGATTCTGAGGTGACCTTAATGTGGCCCCACCCCCTGTGCTCCATCTTCTGTGTACCATGACATGGCCATGCCAGGAATAATCACTATTGCTTGACTATTTTGTAGAGTGTTTTGTTAACTATAGCATACATTGATCACTGTTGTACATTAATTGTAAACTTCTCAGTGAAATTTCACTGTAGCAAGTTACACATCCACTTGTGCTTTATTGTCAAAAAATTGCTATTACTAACCCAACATGTAAGACCAGGTAGCTGGATTTCTTAAATAATTCCAAGTGAATACAAAGCAGGGAGCAGAGCTTGGGAGTTAGGTGAAAACAAAAACATTCATAGAACTTTTCTTTGCCTCAAATGTCAGGCAATGCCTGATTAATCAAAATGCATAAATCAATCAAAATATTATGATGCTTATGGTGGGGGAACATATAAAATATATTGGGTTATATGGGTTGGGTTATTTTATGTATACGTTATGTGTGATTTAGAAGAAATTCCCTATCTTTTGGCCATAAAATTACTGAATGTACTAAACAGTAATATAATGTGACCTTTGAAAACTTAGTCACAATATAGTATACATTCGCATGTTTGTTTGACTTTTACTCCGCATCTTCTTGTCATTGTGATGCCTTGTGATTTCATGTTCCATAATAATGAAAAAATAGCAGTAACACAAATACAAGATATTTGCAAGATAACACTTTTTGCTTCATGTATTATGTGCATGATCCAATGCATATTATTATCATTTTATACAATTGTTTTGTTAGAGGTAAGATTACCTATGATGCTATGCAGCTTTTCTTCGTGATACTCAGCATCCAATATAAATACAGGTTAAATAAATTAACTGGAATTATTCCTAGTTAAACATGTATATGTTTTAAAGCCAAATATGATACTTATATATTTATTACTAATCTGTTCTGTTTATTTGCGACCAGATAATGAATTTATGTAATTATGTTCTTATTTCATTCAGATTGGATGGCCCATAGCTAAGTGGTCCATGCACCTTCACCTATGACATCACTGCCTGTAGAGGCACAGTAGCTGGACGGTGTCATTTAAAATCTCTCTTTGACTTCTACCTGCGTTTTGTTGCGCCCCACTTTACTGCGCAGTTATCCTGTGACATTAAGTAGACAGGGGATTTACGTTACTCCTCAGGGCAAAGAGGACACCGGGAGAAGGGTTGTCATGGAAACGGACCCCTACAAGGCTGTCGGGATTGTTTAATTATTCAGGACCACCATCACGGAGCATCAGCAGGGATTCAACCGGCACCGATAAAAGAGGGTGTGAATGGTGAGATTAAAAAATTATGCAGAGGTGGAGAATTATGATAAACTTTGAACATAGTGTATGTGGTGAGTGATAAAACTATGATGCAGTAAGACTTTTTACTGAGCTCCCACAGTAATAGATAAATCTGCTGTTGGGTAAAAAATATTTTACTTAGTGGTTTTTTGCATTCACTGGTTGAACATAAGCATGATGTAAATAGATGTAAATGTAAGGTTGAGGCATGCAGTAGTCACTGTGGTCCAAAGCAAGAAAAATTATCTGACGAAGGTTTTTTTGCCTAAAAAAGCTTTTGGACATCGGCCATCTGAGTGTGCTCAATTCTATATTGCTGTTCCTTGCATTTGCACCTCTTTGGTGTGCATTTTTGGTTCCATTTGATATAGTAGTTACTTGTATATCATATTGTAGGGCACTGTTTAGTATTAATGTAGTATTATTGTGGTTGTGCATCCATAAAATTAATAGGAAAGAGGCTACTACATACAACACTATAGCTTTGCCTCTTCTTAACAATTGGCTGAGATAATGTATTGAAGGTCTACCGCCTACTCTCCTGCACACTCTATCCAATGTCATATTTTTAGCCCTGGCATTTATCTAATTGTATTTGCACAGTTCAAAAACCCTACCTATTACATAATTAAAGGACAGCTGTAAAAAGGACTCTTCAACTTTCTGATGTATTTCTAATAGAATACACTGGATGACAAAATATTTAGTTGCACTAGTCCTCAGGAGTGTCAGGATTGATGAGACTTAAACACACACACACGATAGAACATAATTTGTTTTCCCGACAGCAGATGCTGCTATGCGAACGGGTTTTGTGTTCTCACAAGCAGCTGAATAACTGGCAAGAGGTGCCTCAGCAATCTGTCACATGTAATATCCAGGACTCTGCAAAGTGTGTGGGAACACGCTGTCTTCATGGACAGGGCTCTTTATGGACAAGTAAATCCTCTGTGAGGCATGTGAGGGCTGTCATCTGCAAGGACCATCCATTTTTCCGACAAGGAGTGACAGTTTTTACAACCTCCTTCATGCCAGAGCTCCTCCTATTCAAGAGCTCTCTAAAATGACCAGACTCTCCAGAATGTCAATCCTACATGTGTATGCTGGACTATATATGATTTATGAAGACAGATAGCTCACCACCCCTTTGTATGCGATATATATGATATATAATACTACTACTACTACTAATAATAATAATAATAATAATAATGATGATGATTGATTGTGTGTGTGTGTGTGTGTGTGTATATATATACGTAGTGACTTAGTGATGTGTAGTGGCCAAGTGGGATTGTAGGGGCAGAGTATGTGTGTTGTATGTCATCCATATGAAAAATGAAAGTTTGAATTTGAAACTGTTTAAGGTCTTTAAAAAGTCTTATGTGTATGTTTGCAAAGCAAAAGTCATACATTTTTTATCTGCACCACAAGATATTAAGGAGACAGAAGGCCTCAAAGATACTTGACTGCCCCCAAGTGGTGATAGCATATTTGTAAAGATTTTTCAAGTCACTTTTTCTTTTTACTTCATTCAGAAGAATATTTAATGAATTGGCAAATGAAACTTTCACAACACGACTATACACATCATTGACAATTTTCTTATAATGCCTACATATGTGAATAACACAATTTACAAAGAACATTTAGAAACGCCACAAAATCAAAATAGGTCTTTTGGACTTGATCTTCTTTGCTTTGTTTAACAGTAGAGTGGTTATAAGGCAAAAAGGTTACTGTCCTCCAGAGGAACTGCTGACTGACATTCAGACACCTCCAATTACACACATGTGGAAGGTATAACTGCTCAGTGGGGGAGCCCTGCTCACATCCGGACACGCTGCAACACTTTGCAAGTAAAGGCACCAAAAGCACTTCCAATGATTTTTTAAAAAGATTGTTTCCTGCTTAATTCAGTTATATTATATCACAATGGTTTGGCACATAAATAAAAATACTGAGGCAGCTGAAAGTAAAAACATTCACTCATTTAAAAAAAAAAAAAATATATATATATATATATATATATATATATATATATATATATATATATATATATATATATATATATATATATATATATATATATATATATATATATATATATATATATATATATATATATATATATATATATATATATATAATGTGTACACCAGTGTGTACACCAATGCTGTGTCTGTGGCCAGCACTGTAAATAAAGAAGCATATGCATTAATCCAGTAAATCCATTTAGGAATCCATAAAGGTGCTATAACACATAGATTGCAGCTGCACGATGATCAGGAGGTTTCCAGTTCCAATATTTTGGTGTTTGGTGTCATCAACTACAACTACAAATGTATGAATTGGTCAAGGAGAGGCTGGGTAAAATGACACTTGCAGTGGTACTTCTCCTTTATATCAGGCTAAAATCTTTTGATAATAAATAACATATATCTGAACAGAAAAGATTATCAGTTGTTTAAAATGTGTGCTTTCTTTTTCAGTAAAACTGTTATGCATTTTTTGTTATACTTAATAAATAATTATGTGGTCACTTTACTTT